GCTTTTAAGATCGTAAGTAGTTAACTGGCTGCTGTCTCGGGTGGAATTCTTGAAGGCTGTTGTACTGCAGGACTGGGGATAGGTTGTTCTAAGATGCATATGTTGGGTAATGGGGCATGTTCATACAGGATTCTAATATTAATCTAGAGAAAAAGGTACAGTTGTTCTGGAATGAAGTGAAGTTATATTTGGGGCCTGATGGGAGAATCATTTGGATAAAACTTTAATATCAAAACCATAATTAGGTGATTCAGTGGTGCACCCATCACAAGGATGATCCACCTCCTCCTGAGGATGATGAGAACAAAGAAAAAAGAACAGATGACATCCCTGTGTGGGATCAAGAGTTTCTGAAGGTAGACCAAGGAACCCTTTTTGAACTTATCCTGGTAAGTGTGTTCAAGAAGTGTAAAGGCTGTGCCTGTGAAATGCGCTCGAGCTGTGCACTTGACAGAGACGGTCTCTATTGAGTAACTTTTTTGTGGGGAGGGCAAGTAGTTCTGGCAAACTGCTGGCTAAAATTGTTGAGGGTGTTAGGATGCTTGTTAGTCTAATACTGGGCATTAGATTAAACTTGCTCATTTATCAATTAATACACTTTTTTGAATATGGGGCTCTACAGCTGCCTCTGTTCTTGTGGCTCTTGAGTCTTAGTTGAGGGCTTATTACTAGAAACGGAGTTCTGGAGATCTGCGTACACACTAAAGTCTAGAAAATCTAGGTTTGACTTTTAAAATTTGTACCTTTATGTGATGCTGTGAGCCAACACCACTTATCATAGCTAGTTAACAGCACTTCAGTACTGAAGGTCTCAGATGTTCACAGGCTTCTGAAAGCCCTTTGTAAAAGGAGGAGCAGCGGGGTGTCTCTCATGGTACAAATAACTTTCCCTTCTGTTTGGCAAGTGAGTTTTAGGTGCTGTTACTTCAGGCTTCTAGCTAGGAGCTGCTTAAAGTGGAGATGATCAGTTTGCAGTTACTCTATAATTGCAGTGTAAGCGTAACTTTGGGAGTACTTCTAGAGAGGCAGAATGTTGATACGGAGGATTTAAATTCGGAAACTCTTCTACAGGCTGCAAATTACTTGGACATCAAAGGTTTGCTTGATGTCACATGCAAGACAGTTGCAAACATGATCAAGGGGAAAACTCCAGAAGAAATTCGCAAGACATTCAATATCAAGAATGACTTCACCGAGGAGGAAGAAGCACAGGTACTTGATTGGGGTTTAATTATAATTTAGCTGTTCTTTTTGTGCTGAATTATTGGGTGATACTTCATAATTTGTGTGATGCAACTGACTTGTTAACAATAAATGTAACCTAATGCGTCAGCTCCTCTTAATTGGGTTGCTACTAGCGCAGGACCTTCCAGTGCCCCCAGTGCTTGCAGCCTGTTACCTGAAAAAGGTCAAAACAAAGCACGCTGACTTCCTAGCTCAGCTGTGTCTGGTGAGAGAGCCTGTGGGATCGCTTGGGACAGCCTGAGTGGGCTGTTCTGGAGCAGCAGTAGGAATGCTGAGGATGTGTTGCTGCGTGTGGTTAAAAGGCAAGATGCATGGATTCCCTGTCTTTAATGAACTCATCGGTCTTGGAGCTTGAACAACAAACCAACTGCAAAATGGTGGAGCTGAGAGATCAGAGCAAGAGCCGTTGTTTAAATGCCAGGCATTGAATTGTATGCTTGTTTGTCTTCAGTGTTACGGCATGAAACGAGCAATTTAGTCTTACGCTAGTCCATTTGCTTCCCTTGGTGGAAAACAATTTTGATCAAATATAGGCATGAGAAATTAATTTCTGGGTTTATATGGACAAACAGGTCAGTTTGGAAGACTGTCTAATTCCAAAGTCTGCATGAAAAATTAAGGCTGCTTCCAAGTTGATGCCTTCCTTCAATAAGTAATCCTGAATGCTTATGGGAATTTACAGCTACGTTTTAGAAGTCCACTGTGACATATTAATAGTGAAAATGTTCTTTCAGGTACGTAAAGAGAACCAGTGGTGTGAAGAGAAGTGAAGCATTGTGCCTGACACTCGAACACTGTAAGGATTGTTCCAAATACTAGTTGCACTGCTCTGTTCATAATTGTTAATATTAGACAAATGCAGCAGCAAATGAAGTTGTGTTAGCAGGATATTGTTCCCTTTGCATGTGTAGTGTTTTTTTTGAGTACGGATTTAAATCTTCTGAGTTTTTACTAGTGTAATTGGATGTCTTTTTACTTTACTCTGCAGTGAATAAAACTGAACTAAGTGTGGACTCTGTATGGAAAGTAGCACTAAAGGTTGTCATTTTCATTACACTTTTAAATTGTTCAGGTCCAGTTACAGTGCTAAAGATTGACTCCATTGTAAATAAATCCACCTGTGACTTCTTCCTCAAGAAGAACAAAACACTTGTTACTTACAGGGTATTGATAGCTTCAGAAAGACAAACAAACTAGAATGTGTCTTGGGGAACTAGGTCAAGTAGAAAAAAGTTACTGGATTTCTTCCAAAAACGTCGTGGGGAAAACTAGTGTTACTTAACCATCTTGAAAGTTATAGAGCTTTCTTGTCCTGCATTAAAAAAAAAAAAGGAAAAACTACTTGACCACTGTCTTGTCCTGTTAGTCTTGCGCTATAGCCTAGTGAAAGATGTGATGCAGAACTAAGTGAGCTCCCGACAGTTCCATTTGAATACTTCAACCATGTCTTGAAGACCTGCCTCTAGCTGGTAGCAAATGAAGAGTGTGTTGCTTCATGCACAGGGTGGGTGTGTGTTTATAACGTTACTGTTCAAAGTGGAATCTGGGTTTGACCAAAAATGACTGACATTACCAAAGTTAATATTATTGACCTGTGCATGCAATTAGTGGCTCGTTTTTAGGTGATTCTTAACAACCCTTGTGATGTAGCTCTTTAAAACATGGTTTCATGTGTCCACAGGAAATCGTAGGCCTCTGTATGTGATACTTCAGCTTGTAGAGACTTAATTATTGCATACAAAGCTAATGCAATATCAAGCTTAACTTCTTTGGACAAAGCCACTTGCAACTAGTTAAACAGTAACTGGTTTTCTGATTTTTTTTTCTTTTTTTTTTTTTTACAGTTCCCTTATAGGGAGTAGGGGATGGTGGTGTGGTAGATCTTTGAGGTGTGCTCTTAGCTTGTATTGCATTCCATTCTCTGTATAAACCTTAGAGTAGAAGGAACCTTAATAAACATACTTATCTCATTTAAATATCAGTGTTTCACTTCTGAATTAATAAAGGGCTTTTAAACGTTTGTCTGCAAACGGTTCTAGTTATTTGAAACCAGACAGTGTTCCTGTCGCTTGTTGCTGAGTGTACAAATAATAGCACTGAGGCAGTGGTTAAGTGAAATAAAACAGATGTAAAGATTTTGTTCAATGACTAATATGAGCCACTAGTCAGACACAGCGGGCAGCTTCTCAAGTTGGAAGTTAAATAGCGAGTAATCCTGATGGATAAATTTTTTTTTTTTGATGGCTTACCAGCTTTTAGGTAATCTTTGATGTAACCATTAATGAAAGCATTCAGAACTTGCTTTAGGCAGCACTTAAACCCGTGCTTTGGATGCAGCTGCTGCTCACATCTGCTTATTCATGAGGTTGCTGGGCCTGCCTTTGCTGGTGTGCATGTTATGTGGGCATGTTATGGATATTATATTGTCAGTGGGCATAAGATACTCCAGTGCTGGGCTTCGACATATGGTGGAGCCTTTCCAGCATCCTGTATTGCAAACAACACACCTCAGTTTAAAAGTGCTACTGGAGAAAATCTTTTGATAATGCTTCTTTCTGTGGCTATATTTGTAGTTTACTATTAATCTTATCCTGGATTCTCATGAGAAGTAAATCCATCTGTGTGGTTAGTGTTCCAGAACATGCTAGCTCATCCTTGGAGTGCTGTGTTGCTCGTGCAGAAGCCTACACTGTTGTTGTGTTCAATGGTAGAAGGCTATATAATTTTTTTAGGTGCTTGTCATGGGCTAGGCCCGTGTTTGTTAGCAGCCACGGCCTCAGACGATGCCTCACTGCTGCAGGACGAGGAAGAGACAAAGACATGTGGTTTGTCTTCCTCATTACCTTGCTTCTGCTTTGTTTGCTGTACCTGTGTAAGACACACCTGTGGTGAGACTTGCTGACTGCTGGACCTGCTTGCCTCAACCCTAACCCTCAGTGGCCGAGTGCTGTAATGGTGGAGCTTCTGCTGGAGCTCCAGGCTTGGGCCAGCTGGCTGGAGGCCCGGCACAGCAGCATGTGGAAGGGCGGGCTAGTCCGGGTGCTCGGGGCACTGTATAGCTGTGACAGATTTCAATATTCTTAGCAGTCCTGGTAGTTAGGATTCCATACAGCTTATTTTCTCTAATTGAAATTCCCCTGTAGTACTGGCTCAGCTGTGTACTCAGAAATTCTTCAAAGGGGGAGAGACTGTCCAGTTTTCCACTGCTAAACTCGATGTGGCTGTTGAACTTGCATGGTGCTGCCTTAGACTTTATTTAAAGCCATGGCATGAGCAGGGATAGCCCTTCTTGGCTGAGGGGATTTCAGTGGGGGGGCTGGGAAGGCAGTGTCACTAGGGATTGTAGAAGAAGGTATTTTTTGTTGGCCTTGGTTCACTATTTCAGTCTTGCCCATTGAAGACTACTGGAAATTATTCCTGAAAATTATTTGTATATACAAATGCTGAAGGGAGAAAAAAGCAGGAATCCTCTGAGAATTCTAAGAAACAGTTATTTGAGAGTTGGGTAGGATTATCACTTCCAGTGGTCTATTCTGAATAGCCAGTCTGGCAATTACTTTATTTATAAAGCTATAAACATATTTTGAACATAAAAGCCAAAAAAAAAATACAAACTCAATGAAGTAAAAAAATGACAACAAATGATGGATAGTCATTGGACAAATGAACGTACAGCTGCAAAACATTTATCCCTGCTACTTACATACAGTGGTTTTACGTGGTTGAATGAAGTGGCACTTGCATGACTTCTACAGTCAAACTGATTTCAGGAATTCAAATAGGTATTTCAAGAAGAGTTGAAATTGCTGTAAAAGAACTAAAAAAGATTCTCATTGTGATTAAAAACTCAAGGGCAAAGTTTTCCTTCTATAAAAAAAAGAGTATTAACAAAATAGTAACACTTCATATAGCATTGCTAAAGACACTTTTTTGGTATTAATGAAATTTTACTTTGTTTTGGCATGAGTTCTCAGCCATCGGGGGCATGTAACGAGGTGGTTTGCTCGCTGTTGTAGAAGTGGGCAGCTGAAGGGTCTCTCATCTTGTGTGTTTTGGGGAGGAGAAAAAAAAATACTGCATTTTCTCAGCTACACCAGTATAAACTGACCCTGTTACAGAACGCCAAGGGGTTCACACTGGGGTAGCTGGGAGCAGGGGGTAAGGTCTGGCGTTAACTCTGTGCGCCCGGAGCAGAGCCCAGGGTCAGATGGCTGCCGTGGCGGGAGGCGGGGGCAACGGCTCCAACTCTGTGGCCGGGGAGGGGGCACTGGGTGTCACTACAGAGACTTCGAAGGAGTCGGACGGAGTAAAAATGAGGAGAGGGGGCTGTAACAGCTGGGCCTTCCCGTGCCCTGAACCGAGGGCGGGCGCAGGGCAGCCCAGCTTCCTCTGGTGTTGTCTAGACACATCTGCTTTTTCTTTTACACCTGCCTTCGCTTGGCTGCGAAGCTGGGTGTTACGCCAGGCCGCGGTGGCCGAGCTGTCGTCTACAGCACCTTGCAGCAGAGGGTCTCAGGTGACAAGTGGCGAGCTGAGACCTGGCTGGGGGGT